TTGTCTTGCAGGTCAATGTATGATGACTTTTTTCTTTTCATATCAATGAAGAAAATCTTTTTTGAAACGCACATTATTCAATTGATGAAAACTTCATTTGGTTTGGAAAAAAAAAACTTTGATCAGAAACAGAAATATTCTTTGGATTTTCTGTTATCATTGTTTATTTTTAGATGAAAAAAAAATCTCATAAATCTTTCAGAAGAGAAAATGACATTTTTGAACTGATAAAGATCAAAGAATATTTTCATCAAAAGCTCCAAGGCTGTTTGGTAACAGCAAAAATCAATCTGTGAGCGTTTCTATTTTCCGTTGGGAAAAATATCTTATCACTTTAAGGTTCAAAAGAATATTTCGAGTGAAAATCCGGTTATAGATTTTAATTCTCCATATTCTGCAGCGTCATGATTTAGACATACACCACTTGAATATCATTTTTTTTCGTAGAAAATAAATGAAATTAGTAGATGGTAAGGTAAAACTTTATTCAATAGTAATATAAACAAACTTTAAAAATGTTTTTAAGTTACGAAAAACACTTTAAAATTCTGTCTATGCATTTTCCTCCGCTTTTTTCAGTAAGTCACAGTTGATTAAAGCTGCCTTATTTTTGGCACGATCAATAGCCGATTGTAAAATATTTCTATCACTTTCGCTCAGTTTTTCCTGCAATTGTTTCAACATGTAATTGATATTTGCATGGGAGTACCATGGCATCGGCTCACCAGTTCGACACTTTTGCATTTTGTCCATAAATGGCGTTTGTATGACTGAGTAGACAACCTGTCGATCTTTGTCACTGAGACGATCGAGAAATTGTTGGAAATCGTTTTTTGCTGTATCATTGTCGTCCTCCTGTCGCACGATAAAACCATTCGTAAGTAAGATGTAACAGGTAATACATAGGACGATAAAAAGAAATGGTAGAAATCGCATTTTGTGTGTGTAGACTGATATATAAGTATGACATAATATTTCAATCGTTTTATATAACAACGAAGTGATGTGCGATAATTGGCAATTATGTTTGAGTATTTAGTTTGCTCTCAACTTATTTGTACAAAGAGGAATCAAGGGTAAACATATTAATTCCTTCATTCATAAAAGTTTGAAGAAGTGTCGTTTAAAAAGTAATAATTAAAGATTACTGGGAGAAACGGAGGAAGAATAAGTGCCTATACTATTCATTGCAACATTCTGAAAACGGTTTATATAAAAGTTTTTGAGCAGTTTGTAAATAAATTCATGGAGTCATAGACATTTTAGGTACACTTTTCTGTTGAAACTCTGTCACTATTATGTCCAGTTTCTTAAAACAATTCCTAATTTCAAAGAATCTATAAAAATAATCTTGATAGTCTTAAGAAAAGTTTGTTCGTGATAGTTAAATAACGTATTTGTTTTGAAAAACCTGTGACTTTTCTTTTGGAGTTATAACTCAGTAGACTATAGATAATCAAGTTTTGGAAGCATCCCAGTATAGAAATAAGCATGATCGTTACAGCTCTAATGATGGTTCCTAGACAATGAGATCGTGGAATCTTGAAGTTCATCGTTTTACAAATGTTTTTATGATCTATCATAATGAAAGCTCAAAGCACTGGAAGAACAGAAAGAAGAGATCTTCCAATCTGAGGTATTCACTTCACACAAGTTCTTCAAGATACGAAAAAACATAAAGGTTCTAACTGTTGATCTGCAATGTATTACGAGTATTAGAGGATGTGTGTATGAATAGGTGAAAGATTAACGGGTCTATGACTACTGTTGTGTATAAGACAATTATGAGAATAGATAATTGTGTGTAAGAGAATTATGACAACAACCGATTATGGTGTCACAGACTAGATGCAACAGCTTTAAGGTTAGAAGAAGAAAATAACCAATTTATTACTAGACGCTGTATGTGCACAATAAAGATGTGACTTCACTATCTTATGAGTGTGTTGATCAAAAATGATAATTTATTAATTTTCATTTGTCATATAAAACCCTATAAAGGACATAATTTTATTTTTTAAGTGTTTCAAATGCGTAAGAAAAAAAAATGTTATAGATTAGCAGCCGTAAAAAGTTCATCCTGGTATAAGTCATATTAAAAGCTCAAAAATATATGGTAAAGTACTGTATTTCGTCATGGATTCAAGACATATCGAACTTCAGTATTTATTTTTGAAGCGATTCTATATAAATTATCATATGTCTCAATCGGTTAGCAGCGTTGTACTAAAACCAAAGAGGAATAAAGCTCACTGAACACTGTACAGAATCCAGGATTTTGTGCAGTTCAAAATTTTCTGCAAACTATAATATACAAAAGTTCCAAGCAATTGATCATACATGAATGATGCAATTGTTTATTGATTTGTTTTGTTTATTCATCTTTTTATTTTTACCCTTTTTTTATTAATTGTAGTTCACTTTCAACCAAAATAGTGAAAAATAACAGATTGTACACACATGTCTTACACACAACAGTCGTGTTCCCAAGATTAACATCCATAGTCATACTCCTTCGCACCCACACCCACCACAGTACATATCGAATACCAAAAAACTTGAGCATCATTGTAATCTTTAGCTGTCAATGCCAGAATAAAGATTGTCTCGGGCAATTGTTTCGATAACATTCGCAAATCGTACTTGTTCGACCATATTAGTGAGATCCAGCGCAGATGAAATTCTGCCAATACATTACCTTGATTTTGATCGCGAAATTTGATAGTGAGTTCAGTGAACTTAGTTTCCATTAGGACACTTTCTCCCTTCCATTTGATAGTGTATTTGTCTCCAAACAATATGAAATGTTTTCGAATTCGTCCATTGGTCCACTGATTTTTTTGAAAATCGAAAATCGAAATGTTTGCGTCATAGAGCAGAGTATTCCATCGACTGTTAAATTTCGCAATTACTCGAGTGGATAGATATGTAATGAGTTCAATAATTTGTTTGAGAGCAAATTGAGATTGGATTCGATAAAATAATTGTTGTTCATTTGTATCGTAGATCGAAAATTGACCAGTTTTCATAATATTGAATAGATCTTTTTTAATTACCGTAGATCGAAGTATCAGTCTCAGAATGAACCAAAATACCAATGAAGATTAAGAGAAGCAGAAGATAGATAACCGGATGGTTTGACATTTTTCTAAGACCCAATTTATGATACAATGTGCCGATAAATGAATGGGATACCAGACAACGAAAAAAATTATTATTAGTATTGTATTTACCTTGCTGACGCGTTAGTGACATATTCATGCACGACAGGAGGTGAAATAAAGAAAGCAGTTACTCATTCATCAACACGTCACTTTGGCTCGTTCTCTTGTTTGTTGAAGTAGTTGGTATGATCGAATTTGTTTCTTTTTATTGATAAGCCAATGAAAGAGAAGAAATAAATGGCATGAAGCAACAAAGAAGTTCGATACTGGCTTTGAAATCTTGAATTATTCACATGAACGTACAAAGTTGACATATTTCACGTCAATCATATTTGACTCTTTTCTGATCGAATCGATAAAATGACTGCTTACCTTTTCATCCATTTCAAATGGTTATTCACCCTCACAAGAGAAAAACAGCATATGCCACTTTCCCTGTCAGAGTTTGGGTGTGGATGATTGAAGAGGATCACGCGCTCACCTACATCCCCAAGCTAGTAACAGCTATTTCACTCTGTTGAAGAACGTTTTCATTCGAAATGCCAGTTTTTGTTTGGTATATTTGATATTTCATTTACTGTATTTGTTATTTTACGTAAAGAAATAGTAGAAAGTAATTCAATACATGGGTTAAAAATTTTTTCTATCACATTTTTTTCATTATTTGTATAGAACGATAGAAACAAACATAGATCCTCATCAAATCGTGTTGACATCAGTTGTGTATAAGACTCCTTCTGTCACAAATAACACTCATCCTAATGAACTTGAAGTGAAGCGTTCATTATTGGCTCGTCGAGTGACTAGTATAAATCGAATGTCAATTCCTGAGCATGCTTTTGCAACACTTACATTTCATGATATCAATTTTATTGTTGGAGCCAAATCAATATCAAACAAACTATATTTCAAATTTTCAAATCTTCCATTTTTCAAAGTCCGACAATCAAAACAAGTTCTGTTCGATGTTTCAAGAAAATCTATGAACGAAAATACTTGATAAAAAAACGTGGGAAAAATCATCACTACTTGATATCCTTACTGACCGAAAAGATTGGAATGGTCTTTCTAAACTTGTACTAGTTGACGGAGCACTACATCACGTGTTCCTCGTGTTATTAAAGAACTGGATCTTGAAACTTGTACCGATACACGTGTAGGTACTGGATTTCTTCGAGGTGTTTCGGGTGGTGAATAGAAACGAACTTGCATTAGTATGGAATTAGTTGTATCGCCCAAGATCTTGTTTCATGATGAACCAACTACAGGTAAAACCGTATTTATACTCAATTCGTAAAGCGTTTGCAAGAGTTCTCAAAATTAGTATCCATCCGACCTCAATTATAATCATCTAAGACATAAGTGTCAATAGCAAATAGTGGAATTTATTTTGATAGACTACATCTCATGCCTTGAAATTAACGAATCTATCTTACCAAAGTGTTGCTCGATCTTTTTTTTTCAACATGGTGAATATTTTATTCATAAGAAACAAATAGAATGCGAAAAGACTAATTTGATCTGAAACCTAATTTACAACTTAGTTAGTTAGATCAAACAGTTTTTTGAGTTTTAAGAAAAAACTCTACAGAATCGATGATTATGAGATGAGCAGTAAAAAGTAAGTGAAATCTTACATCACTCACGTCCTATTCTTTATTTTCCTTTTATACAGAAAATATCAAATGAATCATTATCTGTTATTCTTTTTTGTTTCGTATATATAAAATAGTTTATTTGGTTCCACATTAAAATCTTTGTCTAAGCATTTTGTACACATTTTAACAATAAAAACAAGATGTTATATAAAAAAAACAAACGTCAACGAAATAAAACTCATTTCCATTGTAAATAGATATTATCAAGCTCATGATGAATTGTATAATTTGATAAAAGTTTTTCATTATCAATCATTTTGTTTAATCTTTTAATCATATTATCATCTGCTTTTGAAACATAAATACATAATAAACGAAGATCTTTATTAATTTTGTTTAAAATAGCTTGTAGAAATAATCCAATAGCCATACGATTAACACATTCGACATTAGGATATTCCGTATGTGGACAAACATTAAGAAGAAAATAAATTTCTTGAATTATTTGCATCTTTTCCATATAAACTTTTTTTATTTTACTTGCATGTTCTATTGAACATGTTGTAGGAATTTTTTCATTTATTAATGATCGATAAAATTTTCAAGAATTAATTTTTAACGTAATAAGATCTGGTAATAAATGTATAATTTGCATTAATCTATCAATAGAAATTGGTTGTTGAATATCCAATTGATAAATTTGTACTATATTTAAAATACGTTTAATATACATGAATAAATCATCAGCAGGTTCATAATAAAAAACGTATTTGTTAGTCAATTAGTAGATTTTAAATATTCAACTGTAGAATTCTTATATTCATATCATCTTTTTCTGAAAAACAACAATCTATATGCATATGAAAGAATCTTCTGCAATATACCTGTATGGGCAAACTAAATAAAGAATATCATTTTCATTAATTTCAACATTAAATATTAATTTTTGTTCAATCCAAAATGATAAAATGAATTGATTTTGTCCTGCAGAATACAATGGATATTTATTTTCATAATATTTTAAAGAAAGGGTGTGAGTGTGGGTATGGGTGTGGATGTTCATCTTCTGTTTAGTTACACCCAGACCCAGACCCAGACTCACACACACCCGCACACCCAGAGAAAGTAGAAATATCAATCCATGTGACTCATTGAATTTGACCAGTTGGTGTTTCACTTCTGTGAGGTTCGTGCTAATAAATAATAGTATTCCAGAAGTTGAAGTGTCGATGGATTCATCTTATTAGATTGATTCAGTAAGTAATTCGACTTATCTACCAGGCTTTTTTGAAGACTTAGAATTGTCTAACCTTATTCAAGTCGTGATCATCATGATCATAAGTAACGTTATTATAATGATTTGAAAAATTACAACAGTGTAGGAATGATCAATATTGCATTTATAAAAAGTAAATAAGTCCAAAAATTAATTTCTAAAAATCTAAATCTAAAATAAATTTAAGTTTTCAGGTATGAGAGTTTAAATTTATTTTAAATGTAAATTTGTAAATTTACATCTAAAATTAGTTTAAGTTCTGACATCCAAAAAGTTAAATTTATTTTAAATTTAACTTATTGAAATTCATATAAATAAATCAAAGTTAAAATTTATTTAACTCTTCAACGTTCAAATCTATACTTCATTTAAAATTCAACAAGTTTAAAATTAAAATAAATCAAGGAGAAATAACCATCTCTAAATCCAGTGATATTGAGTTCTCTCATGTGAAAACCTTCTTTATAAAAGAACTATAATGATAATAGTGCCATTGTTATTCGGGCCGGGCCGGGCTGGGCTCTAATATAGAAGAGATTGGGCCGGGCGGGCATGAACTATTCTTGGCCCGGTATGGGCCGGGCTGGGCCATCAAAAATTGGCCCATTTCGAGCCCTGCTACTTAACTACATGTGAAACAATGAAACTATAGAAGAATGCATCGACGAAACGAGTATCCGCTATACCAGCGACGATTAGCCCAATGCTCGAGTGTATATCTTCCTATATCGAGCTTATCAATACTCATCGATTGTTCAATGATTGCATGAATTTTGTGTCGATTCATGATACACAGTAAGGCTTGAACATCTGCTATACTAATCGTTGAAAAAAATTTAATATTCTTAATATTGTCTTCGCAGCGTAATCGTAGATAATTGTCGAAGTCGTCGTGAACAAGATTTGTTTCTACTTGATCCTTAGCAAGTGGACCTTGAATAGGAAAAAGCAAATATTGTTTTTCCATTTATACAGAATAAAATGTTCGGTTTTTTAATTTCAATACATCTCATCAAGTATTTTATTTTATAGCTGTTTATTTTGAACAAAAACAATAAGAGGATTGTATAAAAAGAATGTGAAAAAGCTATAGATAATGGATGCAAAAATCAAGCTGATTATAAATTAATTGCTAAGTAAGAATTAAAGAAATGTGAAGAATATTATTTGTGTAGTATTTCATTCGCAAACCTTATACTCGTATAGGAAATGTAAAAGTACAACAAAAAACTACCAAGAAGCTATCAAATATTTGAATCGATCATTTGTGGAACATCGAAATACGGATGTAATAAAAAGAAAAGAAGAAATTGAAAAGATTCTTAAAGAAAAAGAACGGCTAGCTTATATAAATCCGGAATTAACTGAACAAGAAAAGACTAAAGGAAATGAATTTTTTGAAAAAGCTGGTTATTCAAATGCACTTAAACATTATGCGTAAAGTCAACTGTTTTCATATCTATTTCACATAGAATCTCTTCAATTGTTCGTATGTTGTAGTGAAGCTATTAACCCTTCGACGGTGTCCTCATTTTAGAACTTCATCGCTGTCCTGGGGTCCGCCTGGACCCATCCATAGAAAATTACAAAAAATCGATACTTTTATTTTATTTAAGCTATTCTTCTATATATACTATAGACCTCTAAATACTCTTTTTATAACGGCATATGTATCACTTTCCATAGAGGCAATATAAAGACATAAAATGTCGAAAAAGAAGATTGTCTGGATTTTTTTCATAGCACCATTGAAGTATAACTTAAAAGGAATGATAGATCCAATCACTTCAGTCTAGAATGGTAGAACTATACTGGTACATTCACATATATAATAGTCTATAGATAAGAAGAGAAGAAACTTTTCCCGTTAATTATATTTATTTTCACCTTTTTCTTTTTTTTCCGTGTTTAAAAAACTTTAAACCGTAGTTTTTTGGAAAATGATGCAGTTGTTCCTATTTGATTTTCTTCCGTAAATGGAATCTTTCCTAATTCTTTTCTTCACATTTGTGGCAAGTTGCCATTGTAATTGTTTAGGAATGAGAAAGACAGTTGGGTTTGAGTGTGGGTGTGTATGTGGCTTTGTCTGTATGTGTAATTCATTTTTTGCTTTGCCATTCAAACCAATACCTACACTCATAGTCACAGTCACACCCTGACAAACAGTTTAAAATTCACTCAATTCAGATGAATCGACAAACACAATATAATTTGGTTTTGATCCAAAAGCAATCACAAATCTCACACTGTATAAAGAAAATGTGAATCATTACTATTAATGATGAATGTACAAACGAATCATAATGAATCTATTTGGAAAAACAATCGGAAGACAACAGATGGCAGCGTCAAAAAGACGAAAATATATGCCTATAACATCATCGGTGTTCTAGGATCATTGTGGACCCACAGCTGTGTTTTTTCCCTTCTAGACTTATCTGTGATGTTTGATAAGGATATTATGTGTCTACTAAAGACTAAAGATTAGAGAAGAGGAATGATCCGAAACAGCAAATATTAAATTAGTACAACACGAAAAACTGTCAAATGGGTCCACTTGGACCCCATGATACCGTCGAAGGGTTAAACGAAATCCATCAGACGTAAGACTTTATTCGAATTGAACAGCTTGTTTTATAAAACTATTGAAATTCTAATTAACATTGAAAGACAGTGAAGAAGAAATTAGAATTGATCCAGCATTTGGCAAGTTTTCACGGCATGAACGAATCAGTAGCTAAGCAATTTGATTTTATAGCTGAACGTTACCTTCATAAGGTCATACTTTAATGAGCATGAAAGGTTTCTCTCAGGTTATGGTTGCGTTTAATACAGTCCTTCAAATTCAGCCAAATAATCAGATAAAGAAAAAAAAACAAAATAAATTTTATTTTGATTATATATATAAACAAAATATGTTTAGGAAACAATGGAAGGTTATCAGCAATGTGCAGTGGGATTAAGTGATGATCCTGAAATTCAACAAATTCTTGATGATCCAGGTATGTATTTAATACTTGACAAAATGCAAGATCAACCTATGGCAATACGTGAACATTTGCGAAATCCAGTTATCGCACAAAAACTTCAAAAATCAATGGAGACTGATATTATTGCTATTCACCATATTTAATGCGAATCATGGAATAACATTTCATGTTGATGTGTGAATATGTAGTGAAAAAAAATAAGAATGATTTTCAAATTCCTTTTTCTTATATTTCATAACCTTTTATATGATTTTTGCCACATCACTCATTTGCAATTCCTCAGGTTATTTTAAAAATAATCTAATCAATACATCGCAATATCGACCGAAATTAAATTGATAAAACTACTGAAATCACTGATTATTAAGTCTAATATTAAGTTTTCAATTATTCAAGTATTATTTTACATTTTGTGCATATAATGGCTTCAATAAAATATTGCACCATGTTACATATCGTTTCTTTTTGAATACTTCATTTATAGTAATCAATTCACTCATTTAAATTCTTTTATCCAAATATAATTAGACTGAGAATTCATCTTTTAATTCATGTGATGCAAGTGTATGAATGACTATTTTATACGAAAGTGTGAACTTAAATTAAAAGATCGTTAGTCATCAATACTTGCATGTATGATATGACACTAGTCGTCAATAAGTGATTAATAACAAACACCTAGATAGTTCAACTAACATTAGGAAAAAGTTAGAATGAAAATTGTTTTTATTACATGTTCTATGAGTATCAACAATTTGAAGAGTCGATATAAACTGATTTTAATCTGGACGTATGTTGTGATGTGATTGAATGATAGGTATACTTTATTCGATTTGAAACCAATATCAATATATCCCTAAAACAAACGGTTTGATGCTGTTCGAATTCTAAATCTGTTGCAATTATTGAAAAGCACTATCGATTGAAAAGTACAAACTAGAATGAAAAAATATTAGCTATAAATTTTGAATTAAATTAATCATAAGTTTATGTAATTGATCGAAAAAACCAACTTTAGTTTACAGATTGGAATTATTATTTCCTTGTTCTTTGATGTAACTATCGGGAAGAATGATGAAACTCTATGTTTCACCTAGATCAATGAACAATATCTGTAACTATGTCAACGTAAATGAAATGATTGCAAATTGTGAAGTACTATAATTGTATCTACTAGAATTTGGTTCAATACGATATAATTTATAACATCGAAAGATCAATACATTCAATTAAAACTCTGCGTGGATTTTCAATTTCTAATATTAGAAAACCCACCAAAATACGTTTTCTAACATTCTGGAACCAAATTATGTTTGAGAATTGATCTCGGAAACCTTTACAAGGTTTTTCAAGATAAAAAATAGGTTTTCGAGTGCTCGGAAACCCTTAAAAGGTTCCAGATAGTAACAAAATCGGAAAACTATTCGGTTTTCGAATTGATCTCGGAGACCTATTTTGGTGGATTTTCTAGGAAACGATAATCTTTTACAATGTGAAGTTGATTTCTTGGTAGTTCAGGGTATTAATTACACGTTCGAACAGGTATTTTGTTCCAAAAATAATGTTTTCATCGTTAAATAGAAGGCTTTGAAAATTTAAAAGTTTCTAGAGTGCTATTCAAAACAGTAACAAGCGTTGTTTATGTATTGTTTTTTTTTGTAGTTTATCAACTGTCCAACTGAAACATTTCTACAGCCATACTAAAATATATATGTTATATCCAAATATAAACACTAAAGAATGAAAATCTGAAATGTTATTCTGCAACAAAATTTCTTGTTTTAAAAATCAATCTTTACTCAGTGCCAGTAAGCGATTGACGACAACTCATGATTACTAACGCTCATTATTTTTAGGAATACTACGATTAAACTCTTTTTGTCGAATAACAGCACTTCTTAAATCAATCGACGGAATAAATTGTAAATTAGTGTTGTTTGATGAAAATGGGTTTTTTGATTTCTTTAATTTATCTTGTTTATCACAATCTATAATAAGTTTTGGACATTTTTTATCAACAAGTTCATCTGAAAGTTGTTTATTACAATCATTAAGGTAAGCCAATGGATGAAGTCAGTGAACATGCCAAATCCGTTCAAGTTGCCATGGAAGGTTTTCTTGTTGATCATATGTTCTCATTTTTCCTTTACTCATTCGTTTACAATAATCTTTAATATAATAATTTAATTCCGGTTCTTCTTGTGTCATTTCTGGATGATTAATAACTTTCCAAAGTAAAAGAATATGTTCATTTAATGAATGATACATCATAGAAAATTGTTTTCCATTTTTTGTTTTAATAATTACAGGGTAATTTCTGATAGATGGTGGTAATGATGATGTTGATGAACCCATGCTTCTGTCAACTGTATTAATAAAGAACTTGTTACAATGACTTTAATATCGACTTTATATACGTATTCATCATTTCATTCCCCGAAATGAAGAAAAAGACAAAGTCTTTTTATTGTCCTACACATTTTAATGAATCATTATTTACCTGACAGAGATAATAAAACACATCATAAAGACAAGGTCATCAATCTATTTTCTGAATATCTGCATGCTTGACTTGAGGATTAATTTCGAGCGTCATCTCTCGATAAAAGAATTTAGTATCGTTGACGAGTGTCCTCCAATTATAATAATTGGTTGTCTGTGTAATACCGTGTACGATCCATAGAAATCGTTAATAAGATCATTTAAGATAAGAAGATAAACTGAACGATGTCAAGTGACGAATATTTCGAAGAAGATGAAGAACAAGGTACATTCGATGAAATAACAGAAAATAATCCAAATAAAGAAAAAAAGGACAAATGTACTTGTACAAAAGAATGTTCAACAGGTTCCTGTTCATGTTTTAAATTTGGTAGTGGATGTAATTCATCATGTGGATGTAGTTCATCATGTGAAAATATGTTTAATCATTTGGAATATTTCTTTGGTGAAAATACAAAATATTCTGCTCATCCTTGTTTTGCCAAATGGCTCGTCAAAAAAGCTAAAAATACTGATGGTTTAAAAACTATTAATCGTGGTGCATTGTGCCAACTTATTATCAAATGTTCGAAGTAAATATTTGATTTATGTATTATAATTATCTCAAATTGATTCTTTTAGTTTTGATGAAGTTTGTGAGATCGAAGAAGACATCGAAGAATGGATGAAACAATTGAAAATAATTGATAATAATCAAAAATTAGCACATGCTCAAACATTATTTCGAATGCTTTTAGCGGATGATGATACAACAGGACGTTATTATTCATTTTGTCAAGATTATTTAGTCCAAGAAAATTTAAAATGGCATTGTATTAGATGTCAAGAATGTATGGATTGGAGAGAATGGCATTGTGGTGTATGTGATACATGTTTGTATTCCATTAATTTACTTTTATTTAATAAGTTAATTATATAATCTTTTATTTAGGTACTTATGGTGTTAGCTTACCATGTGAAGGATGTGGAGGAAAAAGTGAAATATCTGCTACTATTTGAAAGATTAATTAGATTTTATTGTTTCTTGTAATCACGTTTTTTTTTTATTTTACATTAAAAGGTGAACAAACTAGTAGAAATCTTAAATTAACAATTAAGATTATCCTGTACTAAAGCTGATGTTGTATTTGAAATAACATTTGGTACATTATTTGAATTACAAAGATTATTTGATATAATAAATGAAGTACCATCGCTATTCATTTCTTGTTCATTTTCAAATAATCGACAAGAAATTATTTGAAATTGTGTTACAGATTTATTTGTTACCCATATTCCTCGACCATGTTTATTTCGTACTTCAACACCATTTAAAATAAATGATCCACTATTAATTGTTATACCATTACACCGATTTGAAACATTTGGACATTCATAAACTCCACCATTAAATATCGTTCCTCCACTAATTGATAAAACTGCTGTGGAATTATAATCAACAAAGACTTGATGAATTGTTGATGATGTAGCCCATATACCAATGATTGAAACATAACTACTATCACGAACAACTAAACCTTGACCATCGGAATCAAATGTTGCTTGATTTATAAAGATTTCTCGATTTGACCCAGCCCCATTACTATTATCAATTAACATTCCGATTCCTAATCCAATAACATCTGTATTTTCTACATGAACTCCACCATTATTTCCTCGATAATGAATACCAATATTTTCATCAAAACGAACATTAGCTCCAATAACTCTTCCATCTAAAACTCGAACTTCTGAACCATAACCAACTTCTGTTCCTGTTCCTCGTATTTCCCACATAACAACATGACGAATGATATTTGTATCAGCAACACCAGTCATTGCTATTCCTCCAGGGATCGGAGAAGTTTTTGAATCATTGGAATTAAGTAAACCCCCACAGAATAGAAGCCCACAGGGCTTCTATTGCGATCAAGTTTTTGCATGTTGCAGCTATAATCAAATCAGCTTACAAGCATATAAAGTCTTAAAAAATTAGAAATTTGAATTTTCAAGCTGTTTGACAACTTTCAGAGTAGTTATCATAGTTGTTGTGTACTCAAAAAGTGAGTACACTCTAGAATCGGTCAGTGTGTCCGTCCGGCCGTTTACACGATAACTCTTGTAAAATGTCATCCGATTGTCTTGAAATTTTTGCACACAGAATTGTCTCATCAATATCTCGGTCGAGTTCGAAGATGAGAATGATTCGTCAAGAAATTGCTGAGTTATACCAACAAAATGTCATTATTTCCTGTGCTTTTCTATAGGAATATTGACCTATCCCGGTTATTGGGGGTCCTCAAGTCCTATAATTATTGGGTATCCTTAGGTCCCCAAGTCCTATATTATGGGGGTACCTTCAGGTCCTCCAGTCCCATATTAAGGGGTAACCTTGGGTCCACAAGTCCTATATTATAGAGGTACCTTTAGGTCCTCAAGTCCTATATTATGGGAGTACCTTTAGGCCCTCAAGTCCTATATTAGAGGAGTACTTTTAGGTTCTCAAGTCCTATATTATAGAGGTATCCTTACTATCACGGAAATAATTAGCGCAAATCATATTTTTGTGTGTTCAAAAAGTGAGTATACTGTAGAATCGGTTAGTGTGTCCGGCCGTTTACACGATAATTCCTGAAAGACTAATCCGATTGTCATGAAATTTTGTCCACAGGATTATCTCATCAATATCTCGGTCGAGTTCGAAGACGAGCAGAATTTGACCAGAATTTACTGAGTTTCAGCAAGCAGTATCCTAATTTGGGTGTGGGTGTGGATGTGGGTGGGTGTGTGGGGTGTGGGTGTGGCTGGATGTGGGTGTGGGTGTGGCTGGGTGTGGGTGTGTGGGTATGGATGTGGGTTTGGGTAAGAAGAAGATAAGCACCCACACCCACACCCACCCACACCCTTTTCATGACAATACTCTCTACACTGATCTTTCTAAGGACATAAAACATGGATAAATCTCGGTTAGCTCAGTCACTTGATATACAGTACAGAATGTATTAAAAACTCAGCTTCTATTAGTTAAAGAGTATTGCTTTATAACCCTCCTTTCCAATAAGGCATTGAGCCTCTCCTCTTACAAGTGGTTCAATTTCACTTAAAAACAAATTCGAACTTCTTCTAGAAGCATCAGCAGAGAGAATCGACCCCTCCTGTAGGCATGGATATGGTAACTGAGCCTATCCTACAATATGTTTTCTAGTTATGACATTATTTAAAAATGAAAATAATTTGCTATATCTTTCGAACATATTTTTAAATATATTTTTTAAAGATTTCAACTAAACCGAGGTAGATTTGAGCTTGAGAGTTGGTGTTTGATGTCAGTTTAAATAACAAAAAAATTATGAAGACAAAATGGGTGTGGGTGTGAGAGGAAGAGAACATTCACACTCAAGCCCTATACACGGACACCCATATCCTCAGACTCACATGCACTCTCACATATGTCCACTACTTCACTCGCATTCACGAGTACACAGTCATTCACTCTAAGAACAGTAGGAAAGATCACGACTGTTGTTATGTTCAATCAACTTGAAACTTTGGGTTGATGAAAATTTTCCCCTTGTTACGTCTTACGCATAAATTAAATGGAACATGCTCACAAATTTGGTGTGACTGATGTCCGGAGTACGAGCATCCATTGATGTATTTGATTTGATAAATTGCGGCGCCACCGAATGCTGAGTCAACTGGAATGAGTGGATGATCGTGAGGAATCGGCTTTTGATGAATACTGATGTAGGTCTCGACGGCTCGATTAAGCGTGATAAGCTTGATGACAAAGTTCGATACTCGATGCCAGCAGTCGTAAGTAACAACTTCATTACGTAGAGCCCATATGTCATAATAGCCGCCATGCTGAGAAGCTGTCATAGCACCCCATTCATCAATATTGTAATCAAAATTTGTCAAGAATCGGACTTCATCTAAGCGTGTGTTCATATCCAGATCAGCTACTATGTAAAATGTTCGTCTAGATGACATGAAAAGCTCATTTTTTCGAGCTTTATCTAGTACATCGTTTCGACAATGTGCAATGCGTTCTGATCGGCGAGCTATTCGGTGTGACAAGTTACCGTAGGTATGTATGGCCACGTGAGGATTCTCTCGACTCCATTGATAAAGAGATGCCAGCGTTTTATCATTGGAGTCTGATTCTCCGATGTAAATATCATACTGGGCAAACAATGAAGTTATACGTTCAATGTTTGCACGAAATAGCGGAAGTCGCGTTTCAATGTTGCGAGCACAGGCAGTCACAATCAGCGAATAGTTGTTTAAAAATGAACGTTTTGCGTCTACACTCAGCTTCGATTCGGTAGGCATCAATTTGGTCGTCGATCTTACCAGCCAAAAAGTAATAGGTGACGGGAACAATAGCTTGAGAATAAGCCATATGAACAATGTAAAAGCAATAATAAGTAGAGCTATGGCAACACGACGGCATGATCCATTGATGAAGTTGCTGGCTCGCATTTAAGTGTCTATATCTCCTAGAAAGAAACTGGTACCAATGTTTCAATATCGCCTATTTGACAGAATTACAGTCTATCTAAGCGAAAAGATGAAAACCATCGTATTAGTGCCTTCGGAAAGTATTTCAATCACTGGTGCAAACAATGGTCGGCGTTGTACTGGAGGATATGAGAGTGAGGTGTGAGTAAATGTTTAGTTTTTCTTTTCAGCCATTCACAAACGTTCCCTCAGATACTAAAGAGCAGAAAATTTTCAATGAATAATTATGTGCACGAAGAGCAAGCATTCGAATTAAAACTCGGAAAAGACCTTGATACATGTGAGTGCCTCATTTATAGTCTACTGCCGACTGCCCGTCTTTGAAAGAATGCGAGATTGCATTGAACTCT